TGCTGTTACTACTGAGGATGTTAAGACACAATCCCTGGGGCTAACAGGAATCTTTGAAGGACCCGGGAGGCAGAAGTGGTGCGTGTGAATCTGTGAGTGATACCACAGGTAATCTAACACTAGATTGTGGCACAGAACCTAATGTGACAGCCAGGGAAACTTAAGACCTGATAAACCGCTCACGTTACCAAGTCCTGCATGGTGGGAGAGTGGTTGACACCCAGTTTGGATAATGATGGCAAGCCTTCATTATTGACAAAAGTAGCATCTGTTCCAGCTGAAGGAATAAAATGTTAGAATTTTCTAGTTGTAAGAGACTGTAAAGATTATCCAGCCCCTGGAACATGTCAAATCACACTTATTTTCTGGAGGTTTTTTGTTTGTTTGTTTTGGAGAGATTTCACTATAGGGCGCGTGTGCTCGCCAGACAGAGACAGAGATACAGAAAGCGAGAAATCACCCCCCAGGGGGGATGGTCACACTGCAATCCCTTTTCCTCCATTCTTCTCTCGGGATCTTGGGCATGCATGCACACACGCCCAGCATGAGTTTCAAGCCACCGGGTCCGGGATGCGAACCGTAGTCGACTACATGGGAGTCCAGCAACATAGCCATTACACCAACTGCTGGTCCCTCTGGAAAGGTGTTATTTTTGTTGTTTTGTTTGTTTTTTGTTTGTTTGTTTTGGAGAGATTTCACTATAGGGCGCGTGTGCTCGCCAGACAGAGACAGAGATACAGAAAGCGAGAAATCACCCCCCAGGGGGGATGGTCACACTGCAATCCCTTTTCCTCCATTCTTCTCTCGGGATCTTGGGCATGCACGCACATGCGCCTGGCGTGAGTTTTAAGCCACCGGGTCCGGGACGCGAACCACGGTCGACTACATGAGAGTCCAGTGACATAGCCTTTACGCTAACTGCTGGTTCCCTTTTTTTTTTTTGAGAGGTTTTTGCTATAGGGTGCGTGTGCTTGCCAGACAGAAAGATAGTGAGATAGAAAGCGAGAAATCACCTCCCTGGGGGGATGACCACGCTGCAGTCCCTTTTCCTCCATTCTCCTCTCGGGATCTTGGGCATGCATGCACACACGCCCAGCATGAGTTTCAAGCCACCGGGTCCGGGATGCGAACCGTAGTCGACTACATGGGAGTCCAGCAACAGCCATTACGCCAACTGCTGGTTCCCCTCTGGAGAGTTTTTAAAGTCATTATAGCTGAAATGTCCTAGGGAGTGTGTTTGTGTGTATGCACTCGTGTACATTCTGGGTTTGTTTTGAATCCATGAGAGAGAGGAACCCATGATAGGGTCTCATTGTAGTGATTCCCTCTCCCAGCCCTCCCACTAGCCAGGAGCATCAGCACACGTGCCTGGAACATCTCAAGTTGGCCTGGAATCTGAACCACCCGTCAGCTACTTAGCTTCAGCATTGCAGAACTGTATCCCAACACCTGTGCCACCACAGGACCAGCTGGGTTAACCTAATTAGGAGTGTGAGTTTCTGTCAGTTTGGAAGAAAAACAGATATTTTCAAGTAGCCTACTGTTTTTTAGGAAGAACCAGTTTTTTCGTCTTGGGAAAAACAGCTGTGGAGCTGCCCCATTAGTGTCATTCTTCAGTGGTGCAGGAAAACCAGGCTCACTGGGTCTATCTGCCCCACGGGAGCTACTTCAGGGCTCAGTGCTGAGCCCAGATATAAGTGCACTGCCTGGGCTTAGAGCGTGGAGGCTGGACAGTCTCAGTGGGAAGGCCCGTGGGGCCAGAACCTCTCTCCACTCTTCCTCTCAGAACCCTTGCAAGTGTGAACATGGAGTGTCTTTTAAGTGAGCTTTGTAAGGGCAGTGGGCTGCCTCTTCTTCCTTTATAAAACTCCCTACCTATGAACCCTGGCCCGAGTGGTTACCTCTTCTAGGACTTCTCTTCCCAGCTACGGTTTCTGCAGCTGAGGCCCTCCTGCCCAACCCTTCCTCTCGTGACAGCACCTGTGTGGTTCTACCAGTGAGGCTCTGGGTATGGTGTGGGCTACTTGCCCTGCAGAAAGAACCGGCCTTCTCAGCTGTCCTTAGCTGAGTCCTGGGGCCCCAAAGTCCTGCTTTCAGTGCTGTCACTTGTAACAGGAAACAGGATAGTCTGAGTCCCTGTTCCCACTGGTTGAGGGCCTTGTTAGAACCCAGATCCTTGGGTTGTTTCTGAAGTGTTTGGCATTTGGGGAAAACAAATGATGAAAACATCACTCTGAATTTCTGTTTATTTTGCAAGTTAAGAATACGTACCCCAAATGAAAGTCACAATAACAACAACAACAACAACAAAAATACCAGACAAACCACCCCCCGCTCAAGTCTGGAACTTTTCACTTAGAAGTTGGCAGAGCCTGGGAACCTACCTCACTAGTTTGTCTCCGAGATGCATTCTGAGTTCCCAGAACTAGACTTACAATAGAAGGTTTGTCACACAGTCTGTTATAGGACTGCCTGTATTATTATACTTCCAGCTTAGTAACAGAGTTACTATTAATAATTACCATTAATAAGCAATAAACTGATTAATAGATTAGACCATTCCTGTACAGCATGAGCATTGTCCCTGGTATTTAGTAAACCTTAGTAAATGTTAGCTGCTGCTGTTGCTCTCACCACCATTGGCAGCATTGCTATGATAGAAAAGGTCATACTTGCTATACTTACACTCAAACGTCCCTGTAAGGGCTCCAGCTGGTGCCGTGTGCCCAGTTACGTGGCTGGACCTCAGGGGGGAAGGTCCTGGGATCTCCCTGCACACACCCAGTGCACATGTGCCCAGGATCTGGGCGAGCTCAGACTGGGATGGGTAACCGTGTTGGGACCCTGTTGAGGTGCCTGTCTCTTTGTGCCTCTCTGTCTGCCTTTCTCTCCCTTTCATGAAGGACATAAACACACTTTGAAAATAAAATATAAAAACACAATAAAAGCTGTGATTGGATCTGAAGAGAGCTGGGTGTGGTTTTATATTACCGTAGAACGCTTGGAAATGCTGAGAGGAATAATAATGGGCGCCTCCAGATTGGCTTACCCTTTGGTGAGAGGTGGGAGTCCAGGCAGAGATGAGAGGTTTGGTGCGGTGTGTCTGGCCACAGGTGGAGGTGAGGTTGGTTCGTTTGCTTATTCATTCCGTAAGCCAACTCTTCCTGAGCACTTACAGTGTCCTGGGCACTGTGTTGTTCACAAAAGGAAAAGATGAGCTTGCTCTTGCTATTCTAAGGATGCTCCAGCATGTAGGTGGTGTTTTGTTTTCTTTTTTAAATTGCCAGAGCACATGTGTGCTTCCCATAGAGAGAGAGAGAGGAAGAAAGCATCCCCCTCCAGGGGCTGAGCACACTGCAATCTCTTCTCCATTTCTCCATTATGTCCAGGTTTAAGGCATGCACACACATGGAATCGGTGTGATTTTCAAAGCACCAGGACAAGACTAAGGCTATGTAGGGTCTAGCTCCCTTAACCACTAGGCTACAGAGCTGGTACTTGGTGGGATTTTTGAACAGGAAAGTGACTAGGCTACAGCAGCAGGAGCAATGACAGGCTTAGCGTTCCTGCAGGCACACCAAGGAAATTGTTTTGTCTTTACTTCCAAATGTTAAAGAACATTGTAAAAAAGGAAGACCAGGGAACCAGCAGTTAGCGTAATGGCTATGTCGCTGGACTCCCACGTAGTCAACTGCGGTTCGCGTCCCGGACCCGGTGGCTTAAAACTCACGCTGGGTGCGTGTGTGTGCATGCCCAAGATCCCGAGAGGAGAAGGGATTGCAGCGTGACCATCCCCCCTGGGGGGTGATTTCTCACTTTCTGTCTCTATGTCTCTTTCTGTCTGGCGAACGCACACGCCCTATAGTGAAAAACCTCTCAAAAAAAAAGAAAAGGAAGACCAAACCACCCAGACCCTCGGATCCTAAACATCTGTTTGCCAGAATTCACCAGTCTACTGATAAAGTGTGTCTCATCTAGGTATGTTGATAAAGCAGCTTCTTCAGACAGCTGGGTTCTGAGTACCCTTTGGCCCTGGGGCTCTCCCATTTGACAGGCTCACAGTAAGGGCCTGGGTTGCCAGAACCCAAATAGAGCACACAGTGTTAGTAGACATGCCCCTCTTCTCAAGGACACAGCCAGCATTAGGTCAGCACTAGGGTAGTGCGAGTGGCCTGGGTAACCTGTGGTTGCAAAGGCACCACCCAGCCCAGCCTCTAGACTGGAGGTGCTGTTTGCCGAAACTATGTGGGCTGAATATTGCTTCTTTATGCCTCCTAATCCTCTGCCAAGATGTTTATAAAGGTTTCTCTGTGCTGATTTTCTTTCTTGGAGGTTGAGTTTTAATTCTGCAGTCACAGCATACTTTCCTGTGCTGGTACTTTCCCTGCACTGGTTACATGGAGATTTTCCATTCTGTGCCACTGAAGGAGTAAGTTAAGTTGGCCTCTCTGGATCATCTTGAACAGATGTTAGAAATGTTCCTTCCAAGATCAGAGTCTCTGCTTGACTTTATAATTGTATTTTTGTTTCTGTAGATTTCCTCCTGCATCTTTTCTGCATTAACCATTATGCTGCCTGTTCCTCCCCCCACCACCAAGCAAATGTTAATTTGGAGGAGATATTTAAAGATCCAAAGGAATTTAATGAGATATGAATTCTTTTGTGAGCAATTTGTCTTTGTTAAAAAGAGGATACATTATCTCCAAATTACATAGATTTACTGCTAACTCTCAGATACTTTTAGACAGCTTTTTCATTATCTTCCTATCAGAGTCGGTTTCTTTTCCTTCCCTGTAGAGTGATTTAGCAGTTTATTTTCCCGATAAGCAACATTCTTCTAATTTACGAAAATACATTGTGTGAAGTGTACTTTGATAAAAATCTGTATGTAAGGGAAAACTTTCCATTGATCCTGGGGAGGGCAATGTGTATGCATTTTAACTCTTAATAGCCCCAGCTGTGCTTGGCCTCCTTCAAAGTATTTCGGTCTCTCATTTCAGCCACAATTACAAGTTCATCGGAAAATGATGACCGGAGTGGCTCCAGTTTGGAATGGAATAAAGACGGAAGCCTAAGGTTAGGGGTTCAGAAGGGAGTGCTTCATGATCGCAGGGCAGATAACTGCTCCCCGGTGGCAGAAGAGGAGACCACTGGGCCAGTGGAGAGTGTGCTGCCCAAAGCGGAATCCTCAGCTGGAGATGGTCCCATTCCTTATTCTCAGAGCTCCAGCTCGCTAATAATGCCACGGCCCAACTCAGTTGCAGGTAAGGCCACGCCCCTCTTTGGAACTCACGAGTCTGGGTGTCCCATGTTCCCTGTCCTTACCTGGGAACCTAATCCAGACACAGCCAGCTTTGTGATCTTGTGTCTGGCATTTCCCTTCCTAGACCTCTGTTTAACCCATCTGTAAGTATACCAGGGATACCAAGGCTCTGCCCAATGGTCTTTAAGTGATTCTTCTGTCTGAAATTATATAAATCAATGACTTGGGCTAGATTTAGCCTCTTTGATATGAAGGAAGAAAGAGCAAACACTCTCCCCTTGGTTTTTATTTTTTGAAGCCTGAGTAAATTTATGAGTTTTGGGTTTTTTAATTGCATCTTGGTAAATAGAAATGTTTAGAGTGAGTTTGATAATATCAGCTCAAAGATTTTCTAAACCAACTTTTGAACTTACTGGAAATCTGTCACACAGATGGGAAGTCAGGTATTTCTGTGTAATTCCATGATAATGGAGCTCCCAGCTTAAAAACAGAAGCAGCAGAAGTGAGAGTTCTCAATCGAGGGCATGAAAGCAGGGAAGATAGTCATGCCTTTCAAAACCTAGCAACTAAACTAAGAAGCAAGAGAAATGCTGGTGACTGCTGATAGTTGGACTGGTCAGTGGTGGTCACCAAGCACAGAGATTGGTTTGGAGTGGGTA